GATTTATACTTTTAAAATGACAAAATATTGCTGCAAGACATTAAGGAAGACATAATAAATTCGAAGATATCCCACATTCATGGATTAGAATATTCATTGTTGTTAAGATGACTATACTATCCAAAACAATCTGTAGATTTAGTACAATCCCCATCAAAATCTCAACAAGACTTCTTGCAGGAATAGACAATTTCATCCTGAAACTCATATAGAACCTCAAAGGACCCCAGTACTCAAAATCTTGAAAAACAAAAGTTGTAGGACTCACGGGTTGTGATTTCAAAACTTATTACAAAACTACAATGATCAAAGCAGTGTGGCATTAGCATAAAGACGGATACCCAGACCAATGGAATAGAATCCAGAGCCCAGATTTAAGCCCTCACACATGCTGTCAGATAATTTTCAACAAGGGTGCCAAGACCATTTGATGGGGAAAGGAAAGGCAAGGACAGTCTTTTCAACCAGTGGTGCTGGAAAACTGGACCCTTACCTCACATCAAATACGAAAGTTAACTTGAAATGGGGCTTCCCTGGTGGCACAGGGGTGAGAACCCGCCGGCCAGTGCAGGGGCACAGGTGCAATCCCCGGCCCGGGGAGATTCCATGTGCCATGGGGCAGCTAAGCACGGGCACCCCAACTGCTGAGCCCCGCATGCCTAGGGCCCGTGCGCCACAAGAGGAACCACCGCAGTGAGAAGCCTCAACTAGAGACAGCCCGTGCAAAAGCAACGACCACCCAGCTCAGCCAAAAGCAAATACATTTAAAAAATAAAATGGGCAAAGGACTTGAATAGACATTTCTCCAGGAAAGATGTATGAATAGCCAACAAGCACAGGAAAAATTGCTGAGCATTGCTAATTGTCAGGGAAACAAGAATCAAAACCACAATGGGAAGATACCACCTCACACCCATTCCCTGAAGTTCAGTTCAGTCGCTCAGCCATGTCCGACTCTTTGCGACCCCATGGACTGCAGCACACCAGGCCTCCCGGTCCATCACCGGCTCCCAGAGCTTACTCAAACTCATGTCCATCAAGTTGGTGATGCCATCCAACCATCCCATCCTCTGGTGTCCCCTTCTCCTCCCGCCTTCAATCTTTCCCAGCATCAGGGTCTTTTCCAGTGAAGTCAGTTCTTCGCATCAGGTGACCAAAGTATTGGAGTTTCAGCTTCAGCATCAGTCCTTCCAGTGAATATTCAAGACTGATTTCCTTTAGGATGGACTGGTTAGATCTCCTTGCAGTCCAAAGGACTCTCAAGAGTCTTCTCCAACACCACAGTGCTAAAACACCTGGGCCCTGCCCACCAGCAAATCCTGGAAGGACCCACCTTGTGGGAGGGAAGAAGCCTGTATCTTCCAGTTCAAATTCACGCTATTTTTTTTGTTTTGACTGCAGGCACAGCCTGTGGGATCTTAATTCCCTGACCAGGGATGGAACCCTTGGCAGTGAAAACTCAGAATCTTAACCACAGGGCCAGCATGGAATTCCCTCAAATTCAAGGTCTTAATTGTAATCAATACCCAGAAAAACAGTTGGATGCTGGCCACAGTATCATCCACCAAAATATCGGCCACAGAGGGGACCAGGCAGAGCCAGGGGCTGTCAGGCTCTGCCTGCAGGTGGCCCCAGGTTATCCATTGGCCGCTCTGTCAAGGAACAGGCCCGTGGCCGCAGCCCTCTCGAGTGAGCGGACAGGGGCAGCCCCTGGACAGCATAAATCACGTCCTTTCCGCCACCAGGTCTGGGCGGGGTCCCTCCCAGAGGACCAGCATCCGTGTGCCCTAAATCCCGACGCTGGTGACTGATGCCCCTGCTTCCCACACGCCAGCTCCACCATCTGCTTACAGGGAGACATAAACTTGGAATAAGCGTGTCCTGCTGATTTTAACTGGGCTAATTTATAGCTCACAAGTGGAGGAGCGGGAGCCGCAGCGAGTTCTCCAGCCACGGGGGAGCCTGCAGCCCGGCCCCGCGTGTATGATCGCGCCCGATAAGGTCGGTGCAGACGACGGCGCGGCCGGCAGCCCCCCAAAAGCACGTGGGAGAAGAGCCCTGCATAGCGCCGCCGCGGGGGGATTTATTCCTGAGTTAAACACTCCCAGCCCCAACGGAAGCCTATTCATTTTCACAATCAGCTTTCTTCCCCGTTATAAACAGGCTCTTTCTAAAACTTGTGCATGATTTTAATTACAGATAAGTTTCTCTTTAAAGGCCAGGCATTCACGCCCAGGCTGGCGCGCTGAATCCACTACATCTCCATGTTCCTGGTGTCCAGCTGGTGTACCGGCCAGGGGGGCCGCTGACCCGACTAGCACGCAGGCGGCCGCCGGGTTCTGGGTGTCCCTGGGCCTGGGGGCGCGATGAGAAAGCCACAGGGGACCATGGAACGCAGACCCTCCAGCACCTGAGCTCTTGCCGGGGTGGGGGGGTGGCGGGAGCAGCTGGGCTGCTGCTGCCCGAGGGGGAGGTGGCCTCAGGCCCCACGTGCGCCCATCTGGACACAGTGCAGGGGGCTGGCTCTCAGTCCAGCACTGGAGCCAGCTCTGGGCCACCTCTTCCGAGAAGCCTCCCAGACCCGGCCTTCCGCAGCCCCTCCTGGGGGTCACCACTGCCTGTCCCTCGCCCAGCAAGTCCATCACCCCCTCTGTGAGGTCTCTGCTCCCCCAAGGAGAGCACTGAGGGCCCCACATGGAGCCCAGGGCGAGGCACACAGACAGGCACAGAGGAAGGTGTTTGGCAAAGACATGCTTGTTCTCAGTGCTGCCGACCATGCCTGACGTGCTGACGACCCGGGGCCTCTCGGAGCCTCCACCGGGAAGCACTGCCCGCGGTCAGAGACCTCGGCCGAGCCCAGGAACATGTGGTGAGAGCTTGTGGGGTGCTCTGATGTGTCGGCAGGGCGAGGGGTGGTCCCTGCAAGACAGAAACGCTACTCGACCCCCACAGCACAGAGGGGAGAGCCAGGCCGGAACCAGGGCGTGTGACGCCTGTGCACACATGTGCACATGTGAGTGTGCAGCGTACACATGTGTGCACGGAGCCTGACCTCGCCCCAGACTGCCCACAAGCCTGGTTAGCTTTGCCATGGGTTGTGAGCAACTTGAGTTTGAAGGAAAGCCGTTTTATTGATAGAAAAAGATGACAACCAAAGCTGAGCTGCAGACTCAGCCCTCAGACCTCAGCCCGAGGGGTCCTGATGCCAGAGCCCCCCACACATACATACACACGAGGGCCTGGTGGAGCCGCCGCGGCCACGATTTTTCAGCCATAAATGACACCGGCAAGTCCTCACCCTGTGTTACTGCGGCTTCGCCCGTAATAACTTTAAATCCCATTATGATCACCTCACTTTACAACATGCTCTGGCCCTGGGATCAATATATCAAGAGAGCCGATTGCCGGTTACGATCCGGCCAAGATGGCTGGAGCCCGCCTGGGCAGCCCCAGGCGGAGGCCATCAGGGCCTGGACCAGCCCGCCTGCACTGGGGCAGAACCAGGAGTGGGGGTGGGGGTCCACAGGAGACACACGGGGCCCTCTGAGGCCACTCACGGGGGTCGGCACAGAACGCGGCCCTGCCCTGCCTGATCCTCCCGTTTCCCAAGATCGTGGGTCCCTTGGGAGGGGGAGGCCAGCGCTGGCCCCCGCCCCAGGGCGAAGCACCTCCACGTGGCCAGACCCCGCCTCAAGGGCCCCCCGGGTGCTCGGCGGTGGAGGCCCCCACAGGCCTGGCTCTCAGAGTCCCCGGGGGCTCATAGCCTGGCAAGGTGGCCAAATTGAGGCAACCACGAGACGATTGAAACCAGTCCATCCTGAAGGAAATCAGCCCTGAGTGTTCACTGGCAGGACTGATGTTGAAGCTTTGGCCACCTGAGGTGAAGAGCTGACTCTTTGGGAAAGACCCTGATGCTGGGAAAGATTGAAGGCAGGAGGAGAAGGGGACGGCAGAGAATGAGATTGTTGGATGGCATCGCTGACTCAATGGACACGAGTTTGAGTGAGCTCAGGGGGATGTGAAGGATGGGGAGGTCTGGCGTGCTGCAGTCCTTTGGGTTGCATAGAGCCGGACACGACTGAGCTAGTGAACGATAAGAGGCAACTCAGCCTCCACTAGAAACACCACGAACTTGCCAGTCCTCTCCCACTGGCCTCGTGGGCGGACAGAGACGGGAGGACACAGGCCCCTTTCCTACAAAGCTCAACATCCTCTTGCCACATGATCCAGCAATGACGTCCCTCCATGCTTCCCCGGGGAAGTGGAAACATGTCCCTGCAGAAACCTGCCCACAGGCGTGTATAGCAGCTCTGTTCTCAATGGCCAGAGCCTGGAACCAGCCAAGGCATCCTTCAGAAGGTGAGTGGATAAGTAAACTGTGGTCCATCCAGACAGTGGAACGTCACTCAGCCAAGAGAAAAGAACTGACGACATGAGAGACGTGGAGGAACCTTCAGTGCATATGACGGTGAAAGGAGCCAATCCAGAAAGCCTGCACGCTGCGATCTGAGCCTGTGACATCTGGGAAAACCCGTGGAGACGGCGCAAGAGCCGCGGTTGCCAGGGTCAGAGGGCGAGAGGGACAGGGCCCCCGCGGAGTCCTAGGGCCGTGAGCCTCCTCTGAGTGACACTGTCCTGGAGGACACTCGTCACTGTGTGTCTGTCCAGGCCCCCAGAAGGCACAGCATCGGTCCTGAGCCTGGGGGAGGCCGTGGCTATGGGAGGTGAGGATCAAGACTAAAGTTCCCTCTGGGGGCGTGTTGATGGCGGGGAAGCTTGGGGGGCTATCGGCGGGGATGGGAACTTCTGTACATCTGCTTGATGTTCTGTGAACCCAAAACTGTTCTAAAAAGCATTGATTTAAAACCACAGGTGAACAAATGCTATGAGTGGGTGATTTTCTCCCATTTTGGAGGCCTGCCCGCATCCGTGGATGGAGACAGGAGCCGGGGTCCCTCGGGCGCAGGTGACACCGACAGCCCAGCCTGTGGGGGGCCCACCCCATCCCGCAGGCGGTGTCTCCAAGCAGCGTCAGTCCAGCAGAGCAGGCCAGCAGCACTATGATCTCCTGGAGCAGGGACCCGGCCTGGCCCTGTGGGGAGGGGGTGAACAGCCAAGGCCCCAAAAGCAGAGAGAGGGGGCCCTCTCACACCAGATACCCAGGACCTCGGACCCCTGCTGCAGCCGCTGCCGTGTACGGGCGGCGTGTGAGGACCACTATGAAAGGCACAGGCGTGCACACACCCGGGGCTCGCGTTTGCCTGCCTGTATGTGCACAGGCCCTGTAGACACAGCCCCAGGCAGGCCCACACCTGCCCGGCACGCAAAACCAGCCCAGCTCAGGAGAGCGCAGGCGGGCCGTGGGTTCCTGTGTGCCCAGGAGCTGCGGCCGCGCCAGGGGGCACCGCACCCCTCCCTCCTGCCCTGCCAGTCCCCGGGCTGGGGGCCGGCCTCCGGGTCAGCCCCAGGGGCGCAGCATGTCCCAGCGGCCAGCCCCAGAGCCGCCCTGGGTGGCTGCGGTCAGGGCCACGAGGGCCTGCCCCAGACTCTCAGATTTGGGGCCAGCCTCCGGCCCCAGTCTCTGATAGCTGCTCCCTGGCTCCCTGGCTCCCTGGGGCTTATCTGGAGTCCGAAGTCTTGGCGAGGCCCAGAGCAGGCCCGGCCCAGGAAGGACTGTCCTTTTTGGGCCCAGAGGTGTGATGAGTGGCCTGTCACTCCAGGCTGGTGGGTGACCGCCCCAGCCACGCTTCCCTGACACACAGGGGCACCCCGGGGCCATGGGAGGCAGAATCTGAATGGACATGCAGAGCCTGAGCAGTTCTGTCCACTGCTCTGCCCCCGGGAAACCCCCTGTGTGCTGGGACTGCTGCAGTGAGGGGGGGGGTCATCTATCCCCGCAGAGGCAGCGGAGGGGCAGCGATGGGCCAGCATGGAGATACTGAGATACGAGGCCCAAGGGCCAGGAGCCTGGGGTGCAGCAGGGTGTCCAGAACAGAGGGGAGGGGCCTGGGCCATGGAGGGGTGGGCGCCCTGCTGGGCTGTCACCCACGGGAGGACAGGAGCATGGCTAGAGAGCTGCCACCCCCCCAGCCCCACCTCCCACCATCCCTCCCCACCTCCCACACCCCCGTCCACCCTTCCAGCCCACCTCCCCCTTCTCGGTCCAGGGCTCCAGGGAGGGGACAGGACACAGGACCGGAAGGGACTGCAATCGAGAAGGCGGGGAGGCCCCTGGCCCGGGGCTTGCCGCGTGCTCTCTCAGCAGGGTCTCTCCAGGCCCCTCTGAGCTGCGTGGACGTGGGGAGGGGCCGACCTGCGTGGCCGGGTGCCCAGGCCCTGGGGGGGAGCTGCTAGACCCAGAGCCAGGGGTGGGCTGGGGGGCCGGCCCCTCCCTCTCTCCCTGCCCGCCCGTCTTCAGTGATTTGGAAGTGTAGAAAATGGGATTATCCAGGAACAGATGTGCACAAAAGGGGTGAAATGGAAAGTGTTACCGCGGGCCAGCCTTTGATTACCTCTGACCGCAGTGCTGTCCCAGCCCGGTGGGGACTCGGCCCCAGCCAGAGCCCTGCCGAGGCGCCTCATTGAAATTGAATTGATACTTTGTGAACTTCATTTGCGAATAATGTGATCTGACAGGGACAAATGTGACGGGGAATTGTTTTCAAACCTGCTCCAAATGAAACTTATTACTGGGTAAGTGCAGACGCCTTTGTCTGGCCGCCCCCTTCCCTGGGCCGGGCCCTGAATATGCATCAGCCTGGCAGTAATTGAATTGATGACGGGGCGGGGAGAGGGGGTGGCGGGTGGTGCCCTCCCCCGGCCGCAGGTCGGCGGGCCCGGTGCCCACCCTGCCCGCAAGCCCGCTGGTGGCCCCGCAGCCTCGTCAGGCCTCCACGTCTTACATATTAATTTCCCCTCGCCGAGCGGAGCTCAAACCCAGTTAGCGGGATTGATGAAGGCGGCGAAAGGAGAGGACGCACGCTGATTCCACCTTTTCAGCTTCGATTAGCTCGGCCCGGAGTTATCCCCGTCAGAGCTCCATTACGCGGCGGGCGGCCCGTGAGGCTGGAGGCATCCCGGCCATTATGCCCCCGCGCCCGCCCTGTCATGGGTCCGGAGGAGGCATCACTACTGCCCGCCTGGTAGGGGCGGGGGCGGGGGGTCTTCTCTGCTGTCCTCTGGCGGCCCTGGGGTCCAGCCCTGCCCCGGGGAGGAACGCTCACACGCTGGCCCCACACAGGCTGACACGCTCCCCGTTTAGCCGTCAAACCACCCCCCAACGGGAGGGACGTGGGCCTTGTCAGATCAGGAGATGGGTCCCTGGAGCCAGCCCGCAACCCCAAGTGTCCACCTCCTCCTCCCAGCACGAGGCACCTTCACAGGACGCAGACTGGGAGCCTGTCCTCAGCTCCACACCTGACAGTGATGGGGACCAGGGGCCGCCCCGGGCCCCCAACAGGCCCGTGTGCCCGCCGCCGAGGACACTCATGCCCAGACGCCCCACCCCTAGGGCCAGGAGGAGGCCGCACAGCCCACGCCCCCAGCCCCAGCTGATCCGGGGCCTTTCCGAGGGTCTCCCCCTGCACAGCCACCCTGGGTCCCTCTGTTCCCCAAGTTCCCATGCTGTGGGGGCCGAAGCCCTGGACCCCGGGCAGCCCGGTGCAGCCATGCTCCAGCCTGTGGGCCTGGGCCTGAGCACACAGCCCTGCTCCATCTCCCAGAGGATCTGAAGTCAGAACGGTGCAGGCTGCATTCCACCCTTGCCCCTCTCCTCTGGGAGAAGGTCCGATTACAGTCTGGCCGACCTGACCCAAGCGGGTGCAGGCCACAGGAGGGGCACCCCTTTGGTGCAGGGCAGCCTCACTCAAGGCCACAGCCTGGGCCTCCCCGCCAAGTGCTCTGAGACTCGCCCCTCCCACCCTGTGAGTCCGAGGGGGCCCAGACTCTCCTCAGCAACCCCCAAGGGACGCCGGACGGCCCCCCACCTCCTCTCCCCTCCTTCCTCTCGTCAACTCCAGCCCAGGGCATTCATTGTCCTCATCTGTGTTCTTAATTCAAGTGAAATTCACATAACCTGAAGTTAAGCATCTTAAGCTGTACATTTAGTGGCACTAAGTGTGTTCCCGATGTTGTGCACCATCACCACCATCTACTTCTGCATCCGGCACCCAAAAAAAATCCCATCCCATCAGCACTCACCCCAGTCACCCCCAAAACCCCACCCCACCAGCATCCACCCCACTCACCCCCAAAAAACCCCCACCCCATCAGCACCACCCCACTCACCCCCCAACCAAGCTGCTTCTGTTCCCACGAGTTGACAGTCATATCTGGGTAGCTCCTCGTGTCTGGCTCCTCCGCTTGGCGTGTGGTCCTGCAGGTCCAGCCCGAGCTTGCAGCCTGCGCCGCCTTGGACACGGCGCACGGCGGCATGCTTCCCAGCACAGACAGGCTGCACCGCCGTCCGCTTGCCGGCTGGTGCACACCTGAGCTGCTCCCACTCCTCGGCCCCCCGGGAACTGTGCCGCAGTCAGGCGGTGCTCTGAGCCCCCAGCCTGCGTGGTGGGTGCCCCCCAGAACCATTCCCACAGAGACAGGCTGCCCGGTCCCCCCGCCGTCTCCTGTGTGGGATGAAGAAGGGGACCCAGCGGGTATGGGGACTGGGCAGCGCCCTGGCCCTCCTCAGCGGGCATGGGTGCTGTCGCTCAGCCGTGTCCAACTCTGCGGCCCCATGACTGCAGCCCAGCAGGCTCCTCTGTCCATGGGATTATCCAGGGAAGAATACCAGAGTGAGTTGCCATTTCCTCCTCCAGGGGGTCTTCTCTACCCAGGGACTGAGCCTGCGTCTCTTATGTATACCTACATTGGCAGGCAGGTTCTTTACCACTAGTGCCACCTGAGAAGCCCTCCTTGGTGGGCACCCAGCAAAATTACCAACAGTCCTACCCCACCCCCACAACACCAGGGCCAGCCAGCAGCAGAGGGCACCACTGTGGCGCCAACTGACCACTGCTCCTGGGGAGCTGGGTCTGGCACAACCTGCGCCCTCTTCCCTGGCCGACCCCAGACGCCCTGGCTCCTAGGGCCCCAGGGTGGCCCTCTGGCCTGCCCCCCCAGGGTGGCCCTCTGGCCTGCCCCCCAGGGTGGCCCTCTGGCCTGCCCCCCAGGGCGGCCCTCTGGCCTGCCCCCCCAGGGTGGCCCTCTGGCCTGCCCAGGGTGGCCCTCTGGCCTGCCCCCCCAGGGTGGCCCTCTGGCCTGCCCCCCCAGGGTGGCCCTCTGGCCTGCCCAGGGTGGCCCTCTGGCCTGCCCCCCAGGGCGGCCCTCTGGCCTGCCCCCCCAGGGTGGCCCTCTGGCCTGCCCAGGGTGGCCCTCTGGCCTGCCCCCCAGGGCGGCCCTCTGGCCTGCCCCCCCAGGGTGGCCCTCTGGCCTGCCCAGGGTGGCCCTCTGGCCTGCCCCCCCAGGGTGGCCCTCTGGCCTGCCCAGGGTGGCCCTCTGGCCTGCCCCCCCAGGGTGGCCCTCTGGCCTGCCCCCCAGGGTGGCCCTCTGGCCTGCCCCCCCAGGGTGGCCCTCTGGCCTGCCCAGGGTGGCCCTCTGGCCTGCCCCCCCAGGGTGGCCCTCTGGCCTGCCCAGGGTGGCCCTCTGGCCTGCCCCCCCAGGGTGGCCCTCTGGCCTGCCCAGGGTGGCCCTCTGGCCTGCCCCCCCAGGGTGGCCCTCTGGCCTGCCCCCCAGGGTGGCCCTCTGGCCTGCCCCCCCAGGGTGGCCCTCTGGCCTGCCCCCCAGGGTGGCCCTCTGGCCTGCCCCCCCAGGGTGGCCCTCTGGCCTGCCCCCTGCCCCCCCAGGGTGGCCCTCTGGCCTGCCCCCCCAGGGTGGCCCTCTGGCCTGCCCCCCAGGGTGGCCCTCTGGCCTGCCCCCCCAGGGTGGCCCTCTGGCCTGCCCCCCAGGGTGGCCCTCTGGCCTGCCCCCCAGGGTGGCCCTCTGGCCTGCCCCCCCAGGGTGGCCCTCTGGCCTGCCCCCCCAGGGTGGCCCTCTGGCCTGCCCCCCAGGGTGGCCCTCTGGCCTGCCCCCCCAGGGTGGCCCTCTGGCCTGCCCCCCAGGGTGGCCCTCTGGCCTGCCCCCCCAGGGTGGCCCTCTGGCCTGCCCCCTGCCCCCCCAGGGTGGCCCTCTGGCCTGCCCCCCCAGGGTGGCCCTCTGGCCTGCCCCCCAGGGTGGCCCTCTGGCCTGCCCCCCCAGGGTGGCCCTCTGGCCTGCCCCCCAGGGTGGCCCTCTGGCCTGCCCAGGGTGGCCCTCTGGCCTGCCCCCCAGGGTGGCCCTCTGGCCTGCCCAGGGTGGCCCTCTGGCCTGCCCCCCCAGGGTGGCCCTCTGGCCTGCCCCCCAGGGTGGCCCTCTGGCCTGCCCCCCCAGGGTGGCCCTCTGGCCTGCCCCCCCAGGGTGGCCCTCTGGCCTGCCCCCTGCCCCCCCAGGGTGGCCCTCTGGCCTGCCCCCCCAGGGTGGCCCTCTGGCCTGCCCCCCCAGGGTGGCCCTCTGGCCTGCCCCCCAGGGTGGCCCTCTGGCCTGCCCCCCCAGGGTGGCCCTCTGGCCTGCCCCCCAGGGTGGCCCTCTGGCCTGCCCAGGGTGGCCCTCTGGCCTGCCCCCCCAGGGTGGCCCTCTGGCCTGCCCCCCAGGGTGGCCCTCTGGCCTGCCCCCCCAGGGTGGCCCTCTGGCCTGCCCCCCAGGGTGGCCCTCTGGCCTGCCCAGGGTGGCCCTCTGGCCTGCCCCCCCAGGGTGGCCCTCTGGCCTGCCCCCCAGGGTGGCCCTCTGGCCTGCCCCCCCAGGGTGGCCCTCTGGCCTGCCCCCTGCCCCCCAGGGTGGCCCTCTGGCCTGCCCCCTGCCCCCCAGGGTGGCCCTCTGGCCTGCCCCCCCCAGGGTGGCCCTCTGGCCTGCCCCCTGCCCCCCCAGGGTGGCCCTCTGGCCTGCCCCCCCAGGGTGGCCCTCTGGCCTGCCCCCCCAGGGTGGCCCTCTGGCCTGCCCCCCAGGGTGGCCCTCTGGCCTGCCCCCCCAGGGTGGCCCTCTGGCCTGCCCCCCAGGGTGGCCCTCTGGCCTGCCCAGGGTGGCCCTCTGGCCTGCCCCCCCAGGGTGGCCCTCTGGCCTGCCCCCCAGGGTGGCCCTCTGGCCTGCCCCCCCAGGGTGGCCCTCTGGCCTGCCCCCCAGGGTGGCCCTCTGGCCTGCCCAGGGTGGCCCTCTGGCCTGCCCCCCCAGGGTGGCCCTCTGGCCTGCCCCCCCAGGGTGGCCCTCTGGCCTGCCCCCCAGGGTGGCCCTCTGGCCTGCCCCCCCAGGGTGGCCCTCTGGCCTGCCCCCCCAGGGTGGCCCTCTGGCCTGCCCCCTGCCCCCCCAGGGTGGCCCTCTGGCCTGCCCCCCCAGGGTGGCCCTCTGGCCTGCCCCCCCAGGGTGGCCCTCTGGCCTGCCCCCCAGGGTGGCCCTCTGGCCTGCCCCCCCAGGGTGGCCCTCTGGCCTGCCCCCCAGGGTGGCCCTCTGGCCTGCCCAGGGTGGCCCTCTGGCCTGCCCCCCCAGGGTGGCCCTCTGGCCTGCCCCCCAGGGTGGCCCTCTGGCCTGCCCCCCCAGGGTGGCCCTCTGGCCTGCCCCCCAGGGTGGCCCTCTGGCCTGCCCAGGGTGGCCCTCTGGCCTGCCCCCCCAGGGTGGCCCTCTGGCCTGCCCCCCCAGGGTGGCCCTCTGGCCTGCCCCCCCAGGGTGGCCCTCTGGCCTGCCCCCCAGGGTGGCCCTCTGGCCTGCCCCCCCAGGGTGGCCCTCTGGCCTGCCCCCTGCCCCCCAGGGTGGCCCTCTGGCCTGCCCCCTGCCCCCCAGGGTGGCCCTCTGGCCTGCCCCCCCCAGGGTGGCCCTCTGGCCTGCCCCCTGCCCCCCAGGGTGGCCGTCTGGCCTGCCCCCCCAGGGTGGCCCTCTGGCCTGCCCCAAGCACAAGGAGCCCTCTCCACCAGGACCCTTTCCACGGTGTGGGCTTCCTTGACTCTTAAATGTGGGAACCAACGACCTACGAAATGGCCGAGATAAGAGAGTTTTCTCCTGGCGTCTGAGCTGGAACTTGACAATCTGAACTCAGCCCTGGCGGGGACGGGGGAGGCCCCGCCGCGGGGAGGAGGCCATGGACAGCTAGCTTTCCTGGGTCCAGCACGTGCCCTCTGACTGCCCAGTGCAGTTGGGCTTGGTCTCTCTAGCCAGCAAGAGGACACAGTGACAATGGCCATAAAAATCAACATCTGTTCGTTACATGCAGTCCAGCCTGAGCTGTAAATTTATCCTGGGCCCTTGATGTAAGGTATGACCTTCTGTAACGTATGACTTACAGAATCCCCGATGCCAGTGGTCATCAGCGCGGGGGCAGGCCGGGAGGGCTGGAGGGGAGGCCGGGCACTCAGTGAGGGGGCGGGAAGGTGACCAGCCAGGCCTGCTTCCCAGGGCCACCTGGTTGTCCAGGGGGCAGAATTTTCCATGAAACTCATGGCAGCTTATTTGACAAAAGCCCGCCTCCCCACAAGACGGGTGTGAGCTGGCCCCTCAGTCCCACCATGGTCAGCAAACCCCACTGGGTCTGGAGCGATGCTGCTGGAGGGGGCTGAGCAGGAAAGAGCCGCTGCCCAGGAAGAGGGTGAGTGGTAGGAGAAGCTGACGCGGAGGGCACACCGGTCAGACGCTGGCAGGATGGACATTCAGGTCTCTAGGGGTCTCAGAGGTTGTCCCTGGGCCTCACCTGGGCTTTGATGACAGGCAGAACTTGCCCAGCTTCGGGCTGTAGAGAGGGAGGAGCTGCCAGGCCTGGTGGAGGGCAGGGACAGGGTGGAACCAGGGCTAACCTCATCCTCTCTCCCCTGACCATCCTCAGCCAGCAACACCATCCCCCGACGGAATCACTGTGATGGTGCCCTCCTCACTGCTCTCCTCACCGTCCTCCTCACTGTCCTCCTCACCATCCTCCTCACCGGCCTCCTCACTGTCCTCACTGTCCTCCTCACTGTCCTCACTGTCCTCACCGTCCTCCTCACCGTCCTCCTCACCGTCCTCCTCACTGTCCTCACTGTCCTCACCGTCCTCCTCACTGCCCTCCTCACCGTCCTCCTCACCGGCCTCCTCACTGTCCTCACTGTCCTCCTCACTGTCCTCACTGTCCTCACCGTCCTCCTCACTGTCCTCCTCACTGTCCTCCTCACTGTCCTCACGGTCCTCCTCACTGTCCTCACTGTCCTCACCGTCCTCCTCACTGTCCTCCTCACTGTCCTCCTCACTGCCCTCCTCACCGTCCTCCTCACTGTCCTCCTCACCGTCCTCCTCACCGTCCTCCTCACTGTCCTCCTCACCGTCCTCCTCACTGTCCTCACCGTCCTCCTCACTGTCCTCACCGTCCTCCTCACTGCCCTCACTGCCCTCCTCACTGTCCTCCTCACTGTCCTCCTCACTGTCCCCACCATCCTCCTCACTGTCCTCCTCACCATCCTCCTCACTGTCCCCACCGTCCTCCTCACCATCCTCCTCACTGTCCTCCTCACTGTCCTCACTGTCCTCCTCACCGTCCTCCTCACCGTCCTCCTCACTGTCCTCCTCACTGTCCTCCTCACCGTCCTCCTCACCGTCCTCCTCACTGTCCTCCTCACCGTCCTCCTCACCGTCCTCCTCACTGTCCTCACTGTCCTCACTGTCCTCCTCACTGCTCTCCTCACCGTCCTCCTCACCGTCCTCCTCACTGTCCTCACTGTCCTCACTGTCCTCACTGTCCTCACCGTCCTCCTCACTGTCCTCCTCACTGTCCTCCTCACCGTCCTCCTCACCGCCCTCCTCACTGTCCTCACTGTCCTCACCGTCCTCCTCACTGTCCTCACTGTCCTCACCGTCCTCCTCACTGTCCTCACTGTCCTCACCGTCCTCCTCACTGTCCTCCTCACCGTCCTCCTCACTGTCCTCACCGTCCTGCTCACTGTCCTCCTCACTGTCCCCACCGTCCTCCTCACCGTCCTCCTCACTGTCCTCCTCACTGTCCTCACCATCCTCCTCACCGTCCTCCTCACTGTCCTCACTGTCCTCACCGTCCTCCTCACTGTCCTCCTCACCGTCCTCCTCACTGTCCTCACCGTCCTGCTCACTGTCCTCCTCACTGTCCCCACCGTCCTCCTCACCGTCCTCCTCACTGTCCTCCTCACTGTCCTCCTCACTGTCCTCACCATCCTCCTCACCGTCCTCCTCACTGTCCTCCTCACCGTCCTCCTCACTGTCCTCCTCACCGTCCTCCTCACTGTCCTCACCGTCCTCCTCACTGTCCTCACCGTCCTCCTCACTGCCCTCACTGCCCTCCTCACTGTCCTCCTCACTGTCCTCCTCACTGTCCCCACCATCCTCCTCACTGTCCTCCTCACCATCCTCCTCACTGTCCCCACCGTCCTCCTCACCATCCTCCTCACTGTCCTCCTCACTGTCCTCACTGTCCTCCTCACCGTCCTCCTCACCGTCCTCCTCACCGTCCTCCTCACTGTCCTCCTCACTGTCCTCCTCACCGTCGTCCTCACCGTCCTCCTCACTGTCCTCCTCACCGTCCTCCTCACCGTCCTCCTCACTGTCCTCACTGTCCTCACTGTCCTCCTCACTGCTCTCCTCACCGTCCTCCTCACCGTCCTCCTCACTGTCCTCACTGTCCTCACTGTCCTCACTGTCCTCACCGTCCTCCTCACTGTCCTCCTCACTGTCCTCCTCACCGTCCTCCTCACCGTCCTCCTCACTGTCCTCACTGTCCTCACCGTCCTCCTCACTGTCCTCCTCACCGTCCTCCTCACTGTCCTCACCGTCCTGCTCACTGTCCTCCTCACTGTCCCCACCGTCCTCCTCACCGTCCTCCTCACTGTCCTCCTCACTGTCCTCCTCACTGTCCTCACCATCCTCCTCACCGTCCTCCTCACTGTCCTCCTCACCGTCCTCCTCACTGTCCTCCTCACTGTCCTCCTCACTGTCCTCACCGTCCTCCTCACTGTCCTCACCGTCCTCCTCACTGCCCTCACTGCCCTCCTCACTGTCCTCCTCACTGTCCTCCTCACTGTCCCCACCATCCTCCTCACTGTCCTCCTCACCATCCTCCTCACTGTCCCCACCGTCCTCCTCACCATCCTCCTCACTGTCCTCCTCACTGTCCTCACTGTCCTCCTCACCGTCCTCCTCACCGTCCTCCTCACCGTCCTCCTCACTGTCCTCCTCACTGTCCTCCTCACCGTCCTCCTCACCGTCCTCCTCACTGTCCTCCTCACCGTCCTCCTCACCGTCCTCCTCACCGTCCTCCTCACTGTCCTCCTCACTGTCCTCCTCACCGTCCTCCTCACCGTCCTCCTCACTGTCCTCCTCACCGTCCTCCTCACCGTCCTCCTCACTGTCCTCACTGTCCTCACTGTCCTCCTCACTGCTCTCCTCACCGTCCTCCTCACCGTCCTCCTCACTGTCCTCACTGTCCTCACTGTCCTCACTGTCCTCACTGTCCTCCTCACTGTCCTCCTCACCGTCCTCCTCACCGCCCTCCTCACTGTCCTCACTGTCCTCACCGTCCTCCTCACTGTCCTCACTGTCCTCACCGTCCTCCTCACTGTCCTCACTGTCCTCACCGTCCTCCTCACTGTCCTCCTCACCGTCCTCCTCACTGTCCTCACCGTCCTGCTCACTGTCCTCCTCACTGTCCCCACCGTCCTCCTCACCGTCCTCCTCACTGTCCTCCTCACTGTCCTCCTCACTGTCCTCACCATCCTCCTCACCGTCCTCCTCACTGTCCTCCTCACCGTCCTCCTCACTGTCCTCCTCACTGTCCTCCTCACTGTCCTCACCATCCTCCTCACCGTCCTCCTCACTGTCCTCCTCACCGTCCTCCTCACTGTCCTCACCGTCCTGCTCACTGTCCTCCTCACTGTCCCCACCGTCCTCCTCACCGTCCTCCTCACTGTCCTCCTCACTGTCCTCACTGTCCTCACCGTCCTCCTCACTGTCCTCCTCACCGTCCTCCTCACTGTCCCCACCGTCCTCCTCACCGTCCTCCTCACCGTCCTCCTCACTGTCCTCACTGTCCTCACCGTCCTCCTCACTGTCCTCCTCACCGTCCTCCTCACTGTCCTCACCGTCCTGCTCACTGTCCTCCTCACTGTCCCCACCGTCCTCCTCACCGTCCTCCTCACTGTCCTCCTCACTGTCCTCCTCACTGTCCTCACCGTCCTCCTCACTGTCCTCACTGTCCTCACCGTCCTCCTCACTGTCCTCCTCACCGTCCTCCTCACTGTCCTCACCGTCCTGC